CCTTCCCTCCCTCACCGTCTGCCCGGGGTTTTGGGGGGGTTAAGTGAGTACAGTACTGTCCCTCCTTCCCTCCCTCACCGTCTGCTCGGGGTCGATCTCGATTCTGAACGTTTGCTGCTGCAGCGTTTTCACGGTGATGAACATGGTGACGGTCTCCTTCCCCCTTACCTCCCCCCTCCCTGGGGAGGTGGAAGGGGAGTGAAACCGCCGCCGGGTGGGTAAAAATAAAGGCGATAAAAAGTAAAGTAATCCCGCTCCTCCGCCGCCTGCAGTTTGCTGGAAGATTCCACCAGGGCCCCAGTGCTTCAAGCCGCCGCCGCCATCTTTACGCAAACGCCACGCCGGCGTAACGTCATTGCCATAGCGACCGGGCCATCCCGCGTGGTGTGCGGCCTTCCCACTAAAGTCAGAGGGAGATGTGCCAACCCACACTCAGGCGCCTATTTCTCTCAATGCTTTACACCTGTGCAATTACGTTTCAATGTGTAAACCATAATGGAAATAAGAAACTTGTATTTCTATTGAGGATAGGCAGTAGCAGAGTACTAATGTCACAAACAATCATCCAGAAGCCCAGGCTAGGCTTGCAGGGGCAGGGAAAAGGTTCACCAGACCCAAAAACACCAACTCCTGTTTCTGTATCTGCAGGGATATATTGGTTCAAAAATGTTGATTTTTTTGAAAATAAAAATCAAGACAACAACCAAGGCAGCTGGCAGAATTTAAATTTTATTAATAAGTGTGTCACTGAACATATCTTGTATCAGAGTTCCTACTGGTAGGTTGGCAGGCCAGTTCAAGTCCCACCTGTTCCAGATGTAATATCTCTGAACAGACTGATTAGAAAATATCTAGGATATGTCTCCATGATGGCAGCTTTAAGGCTGGAATTATGAAAAAAAATGCACTGTACTACCACCACCTCAGCACATTCTAAGCAGCTTAAAGCACTCCACTGCATCTTTTTTAAAAAAAATGGAAAGTCAGGTTAATAGCTCTGATGAGTGCCACTCATTGAAACATGGCTGGAGTCACATGACACCAGGTTTATCTGAAGTAACAAACTTTCAAAATGCCATCACCTGATGAAGGAGCAGCACTCCAAAAGCTTGTGATTTCAAATAAACCTGTTGGATTATAACTTGGTGGTGTGTGACTTCTGACCTTAAGCATTGAAGACTTCAAATCAGGGACTTTCGGTAAAATTTTCTTTGGATTATTGAACAGGACAGTGTTATCTGAATGCAAGCTGCAGAAGTGTTAGAAAATGCTTCCCAAATTCATTCCCACTATGGCTCCATTTTGAAGCTTCAAAGCTGTTTCAGCCCATCTGTCAAGAATGTGGTGGGAGGGAAGAGGCTAGAAGGACAAGAGTAAGGGGACAGTCTGCCATAGCACTTAACCTAAACTCCAACTTACAAACCTACTTGAGAGTCCAACTCTCACCTTTGAGACCCCTGTAATATTGTGAACTCAAATGAGAGAGAGTCTTCAGGAAAGATTGTCAAAATAAGAATTACCTTTTAAACCAAGTTGAGTGATAGACAAGTACTGAAATGTGACATAGCTGATCAAAAGCAATCATTTCCAGCATGTACAGGAGAAGGTCTGCTTTAGATAGAGGGCTTGAACTGGGATCGACAACACTGCAGCCATGCTCCAGCACCTGTCTATAGGGCGTTTCTTTGAAAACAAAAATTTAAACAGCATTCTCCAGGCTCATGGTTTTTTGGAACAAATGACTGCTATTTGTGCAGTCTGAAGTCTTGTACAAGAAGTCTACTTCCAGTAATTACACTCTTCATTCCAAATGTGTGAAGTTCATGCATTTTCTGTAGTTTGAAAAGCAAACAAAGTGCAAGTCTAGTACATAACTAGGGGATATAAATTTAGAAGTAAGGATTAGGAGCTTGCTTTTAAATTTTAAAAAAATTAATGACACGGGAAATGCCCAACCAGCAAGTGGAAGCAGAATCTAGTGGCTCTTATTAGGGAAGTAAAATTTTCAATATTTATCCAAAATAGAAATGGGACTGAGGGGGTTAATTATCTATTAAGAGGTGATAGACAAATTCATTCTCTGCTGCAAAATTCTGTTTTAATGAGTTAAGAGGTCAGCTGAGAAAGTGTGGAAATTGGTTACTCACAGGGATATCTAATAGAATGATGACAGAAAACAACCAACATGGAAAGAATAGCCATCTGACAAAGAGCTCTTCATGGAGTTCAATTACCTTATTCTGTACTCAAGAACACAGCAGTTGGAAAGCATTATAGCAGGACTAGACCATTCAGCCTCAGCAACAGGCTTTTTGTAATAAAAAGGTCAATTTGTTCTACGTGCATGCTATTTGTGATGAATAAAATGGTACCCAGGTCCCTCTGAACAGCAAACTTTCAGGGTCTTGACCCTTTAAGAATTCTTTATGCCCAAATCCAAACTGGATAACTTGTCATAATTAACATCTGCCATACCCTTGCCCATTTGAGGTCTTTAGCCCTTTGCAGTTTGTCTCTTCCTCAAAATTTAATTTTCCACGTATAACAGTCTTGGTTAGGATTATCCTCTGACCCTTTATATTTATTGATATTACAATTAGCTAAAGTCCAACACTGATTCTTGCATTAATCTCACTGGCTACAGCCTGGCAACCCAAGTGGCTTATCCAATTCCAGCTTTATTAACCAATGAATCCATGCTTTATCACCCCCAATACCAAAAGTCCATGAAATTCAAAGGATTAAGAACTATTCCAAACTGTAAAGGAAAACAAGCAATTATTTCACTTCCATTGGTATTTATTGTAGAAATGTGATCAAACATACTTCTGTATTGCACACAGAACAAGTTTTCCCCAAACAGTCATCGATTAAATCACCAATTTACAACATTTAAATAACAGATTAAAATGACAACTTTAGACTTGGTCTGTACAGAATTTAAGTCTCCTTTTGAATGTTGTTGGAAATGAAGAAATCTTTCCCCCTCCTTTTCTTGAAACCCCCATATAAAGAATGCAAAATACAAAGGCAAAGTTGACCCTGGATTTGGAAAGAGCCGATAAACGTCCATTTATATAACCAGTGCAGTCCTGCTTGACCCAATTGTTCTGAATGGAAAAAGGCAGCTATACAATTACACTTACAGTTGAAGCCTGTTAAACAGGGCACCCCCCCAAATGGATGTGAAGTGAAATTGGTCAATTTAAATCAGATCATCCCCAATGTTAATTCCCATCACCAGATTTTAGTTACACTTGGGAACTGAGTGGTTCTCAAAAACCAAAAAAGAGACCTTATAAAAGCAGTACAGCCTGGAAGTTAACTGGCATCAACTGTAGAATCTCAAACATGCTCAAGTACACTGTTCAGTGTATCATGTTTACCTAGACAAAGACACAAAACAAGCTAACCTAACAGCATTGGAACCCAAACTTGGAAATTATTGGCAGCAAGCAAATAGATATGGGCTTCTACCAAATTTTAAACTGAGGGGTTGACCAAATTTAAAGTTTAAAAAGTTAACACCTCAGTTGAAAAACAGCATAAAAAAGTGCTCAGCTGATTTCTAGAATCATTAAATGTGGCATGTTCAAGATGCAAAACACAGCAGCACAAGTTCCACTCAGGTTTGATCCTTCCCTACCCACCATTATGAAGCTGACCTCTAGTTACCAAATTTTTGATAAGAAAGGTTTAGAAATTTCAGTAGTCCCTTCCTCAGTGGATATATTCTCATGTTCACCTACTGCCCCAACCCTAAAAACCTGACTCTTTTCTAATTTGTTCATAAACAAAAAACATTCCAATAAGGGGTCCCAATTGCTTTGTGTAACTTTTCTGCACGTTGCCCTACTGCCATTCATTCTCAGCATTTATTACAATCTTTATAACTCATCCTTTTGAACGGTCTCTGTTTCATCTTCCTCCTCTTCCTCTTCCTCTTTTTCTTCCTTCTCTTCATCCTCATCCTCTTCCTCATCCCCCTCAGCATCATCCTCCTTCTCCTTCTCTTCCTCCTCCTCCCTCTTCTTTCTCTCCTCTTCATCCTGTTGCTCCTTCATTTTCTTTTCTGGCTCCTGAAAAGACAATTTAAAGACTCAGTCAGTCAGTCATTGAGTTGGGAGGGAAACAGTACAGATTCAAATATAACATAGGTATTAGAACTTCAATAACACAAACCAGAATATTAAAGCATTCCATTTCATCTAAAGAGATAACTTGATTCCCATAATAAAGGGAATTACAGATTTAAGAAAATCAGTGAAGTACAGTGAGCAGGAAAGTAAAGTTGACACTACAACCAGTTTGTCACTCGCTGAATGGCAGAACATTCTCAAAAGTGCTTAATGGCCTGTTCCAAAGTAGAGTTGTACATCTGCCATAGGATTGCATTGAAGAATGGCATATTTTATTTTCAAAAGGCAAATCACACCACACTGGAGATTCTACAAGTTCTGTAGGGGAGTCTCTTCAAGTGTTAGCTTGGATGTTGTGCATTGAAAAGGCTTTGACAGCCAAGATTTTCCCCAAATCCCCAGCTCAGGAATTCCTAAACTGTAGGTCATGACTCGAGAGGAGGTTTTGGATTTCAAATTCCATGGGCAATAATGACTGTTGTGCGAATCAGACTGATTTCGCTCAGCTACAAAGCTCTTAAAATTTGTGTGTTTTTTTCCCCCGCAACTTGGCAGGCACAGCCTAATGGACTAGGCCACAAGCCTCAATGGTCACTGCAAGAGTAACAAACTGTTTTCTGGTATAAACCTTACCCTTTCACTAATTTCCATCAATAATTAGTGTTCCCCTCAGCTCAACCAATAAGGCCTCCATGTAGGCCCCTCAATTTCACTCAACTCTTCTACATAATCTTCCATCCCAAGTCACAAAGAATGAGACATTAAAATAGAACCACACTGGGAAAATATTGGGAAGCATCACCATGACTTCATTTGCACAGTATTACAGGTTTAAAGAAAAAGGACCGTCACATTCACTGCCAATTTATGATGCAGCTGTCAAAAATTCATTTACTGAGAAGCAGGTTGTAACAAACCCAAGTAAACTCCATATAACCATTACACCTAGAGGTGTTAATTCTAGTCCCAACTGGATGAGAACAAGTCTCAGAAGGTAAAGGTCAAAAATATCAATGATTGCTCAAGGGACAGAAGCATATTTCAAAGTGAAATAAATTTTGAAAATAATGCTGCTCCCATACAGTTTTCTGCAGCCAGCTTTTTGAAGCAATTGATTTATCTGCCTGCAGGGAAGATGTTACACCCTTACCTTAGTTGCTCCCCAGGTTTCTGTTCCAAATTTTTCAGCAAACTTTTCATCATCTGTGATCAGGAAGTTATCAAATATTGTTCCAGATTTAACCTGAAAAATTGGAAGCAAACACTCAGACATCTGCAAAGTGATTATGGCATCCTCTGGAAAGAACAGACTTAAAATACCAGCTTTATGCAAGTCATTAAGGGATGGGGCAAAAAGAGGATAGAAACAAAGCATATCGTGCACAATAAAATATTTGCTTCTTGTAGATGCAGCTGCACATTTAAATTGTGACATTTATTTAAACCCTAAAATGCTCCTTTCCACCAAAGGGAAAATGAAGCAAATTGAAAGAGGAAGGGAAAACATTTAAAACACTGGCTCAGCTTTCCTTCTGCAAGTTAAAAACAGTTTCTCCTTATTTGACAGGAAGACTTCAATAAATAGATTTGCTGCTTTTGAAGTTAAACAAGTTATGGCTCATTGTTTAAACTGATTATGAAAAAACATTTTGGGAAAACATACAAGGATATGCCATGCTACTCCTTTCCAACAAAAAAGAACACCAATCTCAGATTCATGGCCAAGGCTCCATAATGATGCAGAAATTGATTGCATTTGAATAAGTAAAAAGCCATTAAAGTAAGTACGTGCAGAGTCAAAACAGTTATTCATTGTAGCCTGACCAATAACATCTTGAACAAAAATCCCAATCCCTCACTTATGGGTCAATTATGAGTTTATTATGAAGCACTGCAGGACAAATTTTAAGTTAACACTTTCATTAAAATCATCTCAGGATGGAAATTTTAAAAAACCTTGCCAACGAAAGAACAAGTTTCCATGCCTGTAGCTCAAACTTCAAAAACAAAATATAAAAGAACAAGGTTTTTCCAGCCACAAAAGGACACTATGAACAACTTTGCAGTCAGTCAGTTAAATGGCTTGAAAGCTGAAAGAACAATGGATTTCTTCAGGAAATATTAATACTAAGCTCAAAGTTCAGGTGTTTTGCCAAGGGAAACAAAACAAAATTGTACCAACCTGCCAGAGATCCAGACCAATCACACCAATATCTTTGTAAAGGTAAAGGTTGGAATCTGGAGTGTACTCAGGATTATCAATTTCAGGGTGAATCCATTTGCCCTTGTAGTCTGGATTATCAATTTGACGAGGTTTCCATTCACCCTAGGTCAGAAATACATTTGACATTATTAATAAATTTCAATCTAATGGCCTGACTGAATCTAACTTGGTTACTTGCATTTTCAAATTTAAGCCTGAAGAGGTAGAGAATGCAAGTACCAAAAGAAGTGTGAAAAGCACAATTTGAGTCAAACAGCAAGTAAATGAATCAGATTTGACCCTCTTTGAAATGTGCAGGACCTGCAAAAGGTCAAAATTTGATTCATTGCTTGCTGTTGACTAAAATTAGTCCTGTCGAGGAACAGTGGAATGGAGTTGAAAGTACTATTGAGATATTAATATCATACAGTCAGTTTTAAAAAAGTCAGTAAATGCAGCTTAGTGAAACCACAAAAGCATTTCAGAAAACAGAATTGTGGGTATGACAACTATAAGCGTTGTGCTGGCATACAATGTACAACAAGATTAGAACAACAAGTCATGTGACATGATAGAGAACAGCAACACCCAGAAAGCTCAAATTGAAACAAGTCTTCGAATTCCCAATGGGTGGAGTTATTAATGCTTCGTCAAGCTCAGATTTGTGAAGCATCCAACAATACAAAAGGAAGATTGTTAGTGTACAAGGCCCTGATTTACTTTTGCCAGTTTCCATCCATGGGGTTGGTGAAATTGGCTCTATTGTTCTAATGAAGGGAGGTCTCAGTGGGTAATGCCCCTGCCTACGAGCCATAAGCTCCAAATTGGAGTCGAAAACTAAACAGCTAAGGAAACAGCACAGGTTGAGAATCAACAGACAACTCTTTCCAACATATATTGATGGTAGGAAAGATTCCTTGTCATGTGCAGAGAATATGACTTTTCAAAATAATATTCACCTCCATTACCTAAATAAATTATTACAACATGCAACAGATTCCCAAGCGTGACTTATGGTAACATAATGCAAAGGAATTGGGCATATTAACGACATTTTGGATTTGATTATCCATTACCTTATATTCACTGTTCTGAATCATAGGTGGCTCCCATTCACCATCCATCTCATCATCCCAGTCTTCAGGTTTCTTGGCATCAGGGTCAGGAATGTGCTCAGGTTTGTCCCAGTCCTGGAAGAAAGTAATCAGGAATGCAGTTGGGCAAGGAGATAGCACAGAGTTAAACTTTTACAGCATTACAATTTCCGAAAGCCTTTACTCACATCAGGTTTCTTGTCGTCTGGATCATCGATCTTTTCACGTTCATCCCAGTCTTCTGGTTTCTTTGCTTCTGGATCTTTAATTTTCTTGGGTGGAAGGAAGTCCCAGTCTTCTTCCAAGCTACCAGATTCAACCTTTTGGTTGTCAATTTTCACCTCATATGTATTGTCTGGTCGGACAATTAGGGTGTAGAGATGTGTAAATTCATCATCCTAGTTAAAATAAAAAAAGGGCTGAAATCCTTTTTAACTAAACTGGTCAATAGTTAAAACTGGATTGCCAAAAAAGGAGTTATGATACATTTTAAATGCAAATCAAAATATTATGAGATTAGACAAATGGAATTTAGACCACAACAGATCAGCCATAAATTTTGGTCAATGGCAAAGCAGAAGCCCTGATGGTCAACCCCACTCTTACATCCCCCAGTTAAGGAAAGAATGCAGCATTACTAGGCTGCATCACTGCAGCCTGAACATAATCTTTTTGGGTAGTGACACCATTACCAGATTGGAGTGTAAACCAAAGATCCAACACATCATAATTAACCTTTACTTCATGGTTGCTGTTGTGGCCTCTTCCTACGCAATTTATTTTTTTGTCCAATACAGCAAAGTGTTCAAACCAAGTATTTTGGTTGCAAGGAACCCCACAGCGATAGTCTACTTCAATTACAAAAGGTCTGTCAGAAATAGTATCCAATCACAGTCCTACACAACCTATTGACTTGAAGACAGATCCATGCAAGAAGCATATTTTTTGTCATTACTCAAGGTGGAAAAAAAGCATAGACTTGTGTAGGAGTGGTTCTTACATACCATTTATCACACTAATGATCCGATAAGAAAAGTCTGGATACTAAAATGCAAGTGAAAAAAATCTCATCTTTCTTCAGTTCTATCAAGGCACCATCACCTCATTATTAACTCAAGTTTGTTGCCCACTCAGATGTAGATGTTGTACATTTAGCATTTGTCATGGTTTAGTCAAAACTGCTGGTACCCCTCCCAGACAAGGTGGCAAAGCTGTTACTCACTTTGCAACGAATATCCTTGGAAATCAAGTGATTCTTCCCTTTGTAACTGAAAATCACATGGACTTTCTTTGTTCCAGGACCACAAATGTCAGGACCTGAAATTATGAGAACACCACCACTGTTAATCTGACTCACTATTGAACATCCTACAACATTCTAGCAAACAGAATTACATGACCACTTCCTTAGTGTAGGAATTGTGGCATGTCAAATTAGGAATCAAATAAAAACCCAAAGAAACATGGTAGCAAGTTAAATTATTCAGTCCCAGTTAAAGCTAAACTGGAATCTTGTTTATTTAGTACATGCCCAAGCAATAATTATAAACATGATGCACAATGTAATACTAATCATCCTTCCAGGAACAAGAGTAGGCCATTCATTACATGGAGTCTGCTCCACCATTCAATATGATCATGGGTTGATCATTCACTAGAATCCCTTTGCCCTCACTATCTCCATATCCCTTAATGTTATGGCTTTTTACAAATGTCATTCTCCAACTTAAATATACTCAATGAATGGGGTTCCCAAGTCTTTTTGGGAAGATAGGATTGTGAATCTTTGGAACTGAGAATGCTTCCTCCTCCCATGAACTTAGTCCCAAGTGCTTTCTCCTTATTTTGGAATTGTATATTCCCTGGTTCTGAACTCCCAAACCAGGGGAAAGAAATCTTACTTGCAGCTGTCCCTTGAAGTATTTCACAGTTTCTAATGAGACACCTTTCATTCTGGAGAATGAGAGATCAATTGGCCAAATCTTTTTGGACTATCCTGCTATCCAGGGAACAAGTCCCCCTGCGTTCCCCTGTATAGTAACAGCATCCTTCTTCAATCTCAGAAGACTAAAACAGCACAGTATGCCAGGTACGATCCAACTATGTTTCTTTATAATCAGAGAGTTCACTACTTCTATACCTCAGGATTTGAGTAAAGCTAATATACTATTAGCCTTCCCAATTGCTTGCTGTATGTGCCTGCTAGCCTTCAGTGTCCTATTGATGAGGAAATCCAGATCTCTTCATACATTCACAATTTCTAATTTCCTTCAATTTAAAAAGTTCTCCACACATCTCTTACCAGAGAAAGTATTCTCATTTTTCCTGCATTGTATGCAGTCATCAAGTCTGCGTAAATTCTCTTGAAGCCACTGTGCATTTTCTCACAACATATTCTCACCTAGTATAGTCATCACAAGTTTCAAAACATTGCTGTGTTTGCTGACACTCTTGCACATGCAGTTGTAGCAAGTTTAGAATTAAAATTAAAGAATTAAAAACCTAATGTGTAAAAAAATTGTACACCAAGTTTCTAAAAATGTGAATAAAATTGAGTTTGTTTTATAATGCATATGTGCATGCATAATGTTGGTAAAAAATGGTCACTTTTTCATCTTACTGATGTTAGCTTTGGAGAAAATATCACAGTGGATCCCCAGAGCTGAGATACTCACTCCAAGCACAGAACCTTGTAACACCACAAGTCAGATGTCCAATTTGAAAACAACTTGTCTGTACATGCTGTTTTCTGCCCATTAGGCAAATACTTAATCCATGCCAAGAGAGTCCTATGTGTTTTAATGTTGCGAACCAATCTACCTCAGGAGGACTTTAAAATACTGAGGAGAGGGAAACTGTAGTAATGAGAAAAAAAATTACCGAACATAATATTGTAGTTGGAGTCTCCATGCATATCAGTCTGATCAAGAGTTGATGGAAAGATCTTCACATACCCACCACCACAGTCAATGGTTTGCTCGTGTTTCACTGTGAATTGCACAACAAGAGTCTTCCCTTCATTACTGAAGGGTTCAAACTTGGCAGACATTGCATAGAATCTGGCATCCTCACTTGTCTGGAGCCCTAGAATTGCAGAACAGAAGGTAAGTGAGCACAGAGGTTAAATAAAATCAGATAGTTATCACAAGTTCTGTAAACAAAAATTTAAAACCACCCAGTGACCAGGAAATAAATACCAGTTGCATAGAATTCCAATACAGACACAAGACGATGAACACCTTTTTAGAAATTTATTTGGACTAATAGCCTAAGGATAATGCTGAGACCCCAGTAATGTTCTGGGGGCTTCAGTTCAAACCCTGCCATAGCAGATGGAGGAATGTGGATTTAATTTTTAAAAAACATCTGGAACTAGAGTATAATGACGACCATGAAACTAGTGCCAGTTGTTGGAAAAACCCAACTGGTTCACTAGTGTCCTTACCTGGTCTGGTCTAGGCCCACAGCAATATGGTTGACTCAACTGCCCTTTGGCAGATAGAGATGAAATAAATGCTGGCCGAGCCAGTAATACCCACATCCCATCAGTTTAAAAAAAAAAAATCAACTGGCAATGTCAGCACTTATTGCTTATCTCCAGTGACTCAGGGCAGTTCAGTCAACCATATTGCTGAGACTAGTCACATATAGGCTAGATTGGGCAAGAATGGCAAATTTCCTTTATAAGCCAATTAAGTGGTCAACATTAGATTAGCTTCTTTTCCATAGTTATATGGAATTTAAATTTCACCATTTGCTATAGTGGGATTTAAATTCACATGCTCAGATCACTGGCCAGAGACAAAATTTGGAGCCCTATATTTACCATGAAGCATCCCCAATGGTTTACAAAGATTTTCATTATGCAATTATTATACGCATTTGAGAAATCTTCACCATAAGAGCAAAGCATTCATAACCCCAGAAGTATGGCCAATTCTCCAAGTTTCAATGCACAAACATTAGCTTTTGATTACAGCAACCAGCTTAAATTTCAAGTTGACATTCAACATTCCCCAGAAGTTTACTACAGGTGGTCTGAATCCACTATTGACTTGCTATGCATCATAGCACTGATGTCACAAGATCAAGTAAAGTAGAAGCTGCCTAGTATTCAGCTGATAAAAACTCCATGAAGCAACAATTCTCAGCCTCTTGGGAGGAGGCACTCTTTTTGAATGCCTAAGGTGACCAAAACCCACAAATAGGGTATCTCACTCTACATGAACTCTACTTCTGGCTCAGCTAGTCAGTGGAGTAGTTTTTGAACCAGGATTTCAGCTCAGATTATCTTGCTTTTGAGTTGAAAATTGAACAACAGAGGCAGAATCTTTCAGAGGGAAGAAGTGATTTAACAAAAAAAAAGGGAAGGAAAGGATGCAAGACAGGTTCAGTAGAAACTGCAACAGCAAAACCTCCATAATCTGGATTTTACTTGCAGCTTGTTGACATGGGAATCCATTGGAAACCATTTAGACTGGAGATTTATGCCAGCATTCGCAGGCAAGACAATATTGTAACTTATTATGGGCACCACTCCAGAGCACACTGGAAGGCAATAGTTAAGATATCAAAGCTACAAGATTATTACAGCCCATCTTAATCTTTTCAGAGGGACATCGGTACAGAATCTAGCCTCTCAGGCTTCTTTCACCATTTGAAGAGATTCAGTTGATCTGTTTATGTTCCAAGTTTTAATATTCCTATCTACTCAATTTTAGATCTCCTTGCCCCAGGAGAATTTATCTACCCCCACCAAAAAAATATTCAAGGACACCAGTTCCATTGCCTTCCATCACAGAGGTCCAAAAGTCAACCCTCAAATTCCACTCCTCATTCCTGCCCTATAAAAGGTGACCCACAATTTTTTTTAAACTGTACCCCTTAGTACTAGACTCACTCAAAAAAAATCTTTCCACATCCACCTTATCAAGGCCATTCAAAATCTTGAATTCTTTAAACCAAGTCACCTCTCATTCTGAGGAACAGAACAGTCTGACCAACTTTCCTCATAAGACAATCTACTCATACCAGTAGATATTCTCTGAACCACCTCCAATGCACTGATCAAAAGGAAAACTGCATACAGTATGAGATATTACTAATAACCTGTATAACTTGAAGCTCAACATCTTTGATATTCAATTTCTCAAAAGTGTATCCATTAGCCTTCTGATTACTTGTTGTACTAGTATATTAACTTTGTGACTTGTGCACTAAACGAATCTTTCTGAACTTTGCACTGTGCAACCATTCTCCATTTTTGGTCTTGCTTTTATCCTGCCAAAAAAGTGAAGAACTTCACATTTTTCCCCCCCACATTATTCTCCTCCATCTGCCAGACTTTTGCCCATTCAACCTATCCAACAATAGGGCTGACAAACTATTTTCACAAAATACTCTTACTCATGTTGGTCTCATCTGCAAATACAGCTGCCATGCCTTCACTTCCCTCACTCAAGTTATTGATACAAATTATAAAACCCAAGACCACCGTACAGACCCCAGAGTGATTCCATTTGTCAAGTCCTGCCAAATCAGGAAAAAAAGGCCTGTTGTTGATGTGTACTCTACCAGAGAGTGACTCTTCTATCCATGCTAGTATATTATGCACATACCATGTACTTCTACGTTACACAATCATTTAACTGACTGTTTGTCAAACATCTTCTGGAAATCCAAGGTCTCTCCTTTACCCACATTGCTTTAAACAGAACTCAAAATTGGTTTATGATGATTTCCATTTCATAAAACCATGCTTACTCTCCCAGAATACCTTTCAGTTTTCTTAAGTGCCCAGCTATAACTTACTTAGTGACCAATACTAACAACTTCCCCACTAGACGTTATAACTGGCTTATCTTTTCCCCAAATTCTGCCTACCTTCCTTCTTGAAGAGGGGTGTTATCTTCACTACTTGATATGGTGGCATAGCAGTAATGTCACTGAACTAGAAGTGCCAAAGCCAGCTAAATGGTCATGGGAAATAGATTCAAGTCCCACTGCAGCAGCTAGAGGAATTTAACCTCAAATAGAATTGAAAATTCCTTATCAAAATCAGTGACCATGAATCCTTTGTCGATTGTAGTAAAATTGATCTGAAATCACTTAACTTAGGAGAAAAACCTTTGTCCTTACCTGGTCTGTCTACATGCAACAGCAGATCCACTAAGTGCCACTGTCAAGCAACTCAGTTCAAGGGCAATTCAGGATGGACAACAAATACTTGTCTTGCCAGCAATAAAATGCACCCCATAGAGCAATCAAAATAAAAAACCCATACTGCTTTGAAATATATGCCACCTTAACATTTAAATGTAGAATTCCCCTTCCCCTGATTTAGTCATTTTCTTCTCCCCACACAAAACAACTAAACCATTCTCTTAACTTTCTCTGCATCATTATGAGAGGGTCAATTCAACACCGATACTAGACAGAAGTCAGGCCAATCAAATACAAGGTAGGGTTGGATTGGATCTATTTTGTGATGTTGTGAATGGAAGTAGTATGGAAACATTTATCTCCCTTTGGTGTTTTTTAAAAAACACCATCAAGAATGTGAAGGGCCAATAGGTCATTTTGGCTAATCTAATCTTAGCCATGTGGCTACAGTCTGATGCCAGAAATAATTAGGCTTGCCTTGGAAGAGATTAGATGGAGCAGCAATAATATATAAAGGCCTCTGTTCTAACTACAACTGGAACTAAAGTCAGAGAAAGCAATACATTGGTCTGAATCCTGATAGATGGTGGCAAAGAAATTTCCCTACCTTTGTCTTTCTCGGAGTCACCGTAAAATTTGCCAGAAGTCAGCTTGAACTTTCCATAGTCAGATTTGTGCTTTGACTCAACCCATCGCTGTGTCCAGGCATCTATTGCATAAAAAAGTGCTACAATGTAAGGTGTAAACAATAAACTCAAAGATCACAGAAAAATTGCTTCACCAAGAATTTCAGAAAATCTTAGAGTAAAGTTTAAAAAAAAAATGCAGAATGAATCTAGTACCCATTGTCACCATTCTGTCAGGCCTCTAGGTGGCAGCTCAATAAGTTTTTTCCATTACATACACAGCTCAGTTAAGTCATGCCGACTGAAAGCTGGCGAAGCGGAAAGAGGCACTTGACACCAATATCAACATAGATAGCTTTAACTTTACATCTAAATTATTCCTGTAAAAAAATGCAAGTGAGCACCAACAGGGGGACTAGATCAGAAAAGATATCACATACAAGACTTGTGTAGTCTGATTAATGAAATAAAGTGTGGATCACTTGGACTGCAAAACCCCAACTCGCTTGAAATGTTAGAATAGTCAGCTGATTGTGGATTGAATTTTAAAACAGTCAAGAGATCCCAGGTTTTTGTAACAAGTTTATCCAAAAATACTTGACCAATGTGGTCAAGAACGATCCAAGGCTTGATGCTGAATACAGCCTGGATATTAATGAATTACCATGGGGCTTATGTCCTTGAGCTCCAGAGACATATCTGCCTGAAATCTCATGGCAATTAATCAGCAACTTATTCTGAAAAAGGCAGTGTGGATCACTTGCCAAAAAAAAAACAAACAAAAAAAAGGAGCAAACTTAGCTTTTCTTCTTTCGGGTGAAGAGGGAGGTTGCATTACTCAGTAATGATTGGCTGAATGGAGAAAGGACAGTTACTGGTACCCAGGGAACTGCACAACATCCACAGGGCAGAGGTAGGACAAGCTGGAAGCCACGAGGAAAGCGGTTGGGATGGTCATGGTAAGAGGAGAGAAAGTTATGTTTTTAAATTTTCTACTTAAAAGCTTTTTTAGTTCCAAAGACAGATGTTAGAAATATAACAAGATGGACAAGCACGATTTAGTATATTAACAAAACGTCTTTCTACAAGTGAAATTGCAACTTCTGGCAAGTGTCACTGACCCAGTTAATCAGATAAAAGGTGCAGCTGTATGTTACCCACTCTTATGGAATATGGACCAATGAATTCCTTCAAAGCAAATTACGAGAAATCAGAAAGTACAGGAAATACTAAGCATCAGGAAGCACAGTGGCAGAACCACTGCTTCACAACACTAGGGACCCAAGTTCAATTCCAGCCTTGGACAACTGTCTGGAGTTTGGCATGTTCGCGGTGTCTGCGTGGGTTTCTTCTGAGGGCTCCAGTTTCCTCCCACAGTCCAAACAAAAAAAAAAAACACAAGACTTGGATGGATTAGCCATGCTAAATAGCCTGGGAAGGGTGGGTTAGCCATGGAAAGTGTAGGGTAGAGAGTGGGTCTGGATGGGATGCTCTTCAGAGGGTCCATGCAAACACGATGGGCCGAATGGCCTCTTTCAGCACCAAAGGGATTTTATGATCTAGGGAGAGACAAGCAGCTATCCTTTCAGGACAATGCCCTGTAAATCAGACTGGTGAAGTAGCTCAGTGCTTGTTTGTGCAGCTTCAAATGCAGAATTTCCATTACTTGAAAGCCAGCTAGTAGTTTCAAACAAACATTCTCTTCAGACCACTTCTATTCTAGGTACCTGCTCTTCCAGCAAGAGATCCAATTGAAAGCACAATGATTTAAAGAATCAAGGGGTAATACATATAGCATCATGTTTTGTTATGCTGATCCAAATCCTTTGCTAGGAGATTAAAGCAGATGGGATCCCTTGGAGTGCTGGTAATGCACGAGAACTAGTACACACAGCAAGTGACTACTTTAAACTGGCAACACTTCAAAAGCTCCATGCAAAGCAAGATCTTGTTATATAATCCACTACTGATATAAACTTGGCCTAAGCTTAATTGGAAGAGATTACAATTTCAGCTTATTTGTAAAAAGCAGACAAGTCTCCAAATTAGAAGGAGAAGACTGAGGGATTCTAATCCTTTAAAAAAAGGGGCAGCTCGATGATTAGGACTATTATGGAACAACTCAGCCAAGCTTGGTTCACTAGCATCCGCCTCTGGACTATCCCCCACAGGAGGAGTTCGAGGACTGACATGGAAACCATGTATTCACTCAAGCTGGCATCCACTACACAATCATTGTAAACTGCAGCATTCATTTTAAGCTAATTTACACTGCTCTTTCAGATTAGATGTTAAAAAGAGATGCTGTTCTGCATTCAAAACCAGATTGCCTGTTCCAGGTAAAAACTGGGTTTACAAGTCACCTACCTGTACAGGTGAAACATTTCTGTACAAGCCATTGTGTGTATGTGGGGCAGAAACAAAATTAGAGATTAAGAAGTTTTAAAGCAGATGATGGTTTAGGTTAAAAAAGGAAATGCTGGAAACAGAAGACAGATCTGTTCCGTGGAAAGAATTAAATACTTTTGGTCTTCAGACCTGCATGGAAAGTCATCTACCTGAAACATTACACACAGTTCTGAGGAAGGGTCACCGGACCCAAAATGTTAACTTTTTCCTTCACAGATGCTGTCAGATCTGCTGTGCTCTTTGCCAGCAACTTTGTTTTTGTTCTTGATTGACAGCACCCACAGTTCTTTCGGTTTTTACTTGAAACATTAACTGTTTCTCTCCCAGGGGTTGCCTGAACTGCCGAGACTTCTCTGGCATGCTCTGCTTTTGTGTTATGTTTCCAGTAAATTACTCTAGCTTCTAAAGGAAAGCACACCCGAGAATGATGGTTGAAGAGCTTTTTAAAACTTAAACACTTGTATCTGCTGTGATGATGCTCTTGTGGCAAAGTGAATAAGCATCCCTGTCTCTGAACCAGAAGGTCTGGGTTGAAGTCCCACTCCAGGAAACGACTGTTGAGAAACAGGTTGATCAACCACTCAAATCCTTCCAACGCATGGCAAGTGGTAGAATGTGAGAAGTTCTTAGTCAGCCACGTGGTGGAATGAAATTGAAGCCTCTACTATTCCAGACTACAACTTACATGGAAAAAAAAAACAAAAGACAGCATAGCACATCAAAATACAGGAGGTTAAGCCCAACTGGTCAGCTGCAAAACCCATCATTGTATGGCTACGCACCATAGCCTGCCTGTTAATCAGTCCTGGAAATATAGCAAACAAGAACAAAAATTGCTGCAGTAGAAGAAAATAGCTTGCTGCAACTGACACGGAAACCATGTATTCACTCAAGCTGGCATCCACTACACAATCATTGTAAACTGCAGCATTCACTTTGAGCTAATTTACACTGCCCAATCCATTAGATAGCAATCAAATCTCTCATTGGAAGTAGTAGTCTTGGCATTTGTTCTGGCCTTACACTGGTGCTTCAGCAACATTTGCCCATATGTAACAATTAATGCTTACAACATTCGAGTAAGGATGTTCCTACCAAGACATGCAACAGTTGCTCATTCTTCCTGACAAGAGAGCTGGCTCCAGCACTAGGATAGTTTCACTATTTTGAGATGGCACAAGTATTGTTCAAGATTGGGAAGTTGATTTCCTATTAATTCGGCAATGTAGAGCACAAAACAAATAGCAGCTTACAGGAATTCAGAGAATTTCTTACCTAAGGCAAGGTAGTTTTTAAATCCATCTAAACAGCACTTCCTTATTACCGAGTAGGGATTTGCTCAGACTGCCCTCAAAAATCTTAGGAAAAGTCATGAACTCCCCTACATTCATTAAAACTCAATTCAACGGTTACTTAATGAATGGGAAATAACAGATTGATCATGACCAGATGTTTTACAGTATATTAACAATTGAGATCTTTGGTTTCACATTCTATGCATTCACTCCAGACAATAATGTGTTCTCTACTTAAGTCCCCACTTTCCACCTCCCATTTACTTCTTCTGGAGGTACCATTACTACAAATGATGGATCACATCTGTGTCGCTTTCGAACTAATCTCGAGGAGCGTGCTTTAGCCTCAAGCACCGCATTTTTCCTCACCTGTCTTCCTCCTTTAAGTTGCCTCTAAATCACTTCTCTGCCAAGAATATGCTAATTTGCCCCAACTCTACTATTTTTAACAAAAACAGGAATTGCTGGAAAAGCTCAGCAGGTCTGGCAGCATCTGTGAAGGGAAAAAAAAAGTTAACATGTCGGGTCTGGTGACCCTCTACTATCTTTAGCTCTGTGAGGTGCCCTAACTTTTTCATGACAATTAAAAGGTGATTTAAAAGTACATGTGGTTGTTAGCAGTGAATGGAGATAGAACCCTATTCTCCCACTGTCACTTGATACCAATGCTGCACTACTTCCTTTCAAAACAAGGGAGGCAGCAATAGCACCAACTACACAACATTCCAAAAACAGGGTTGTAGATTACACACAAATTGCCAGCAAAGCTCACCAAAAGCTAAAAATCTTAAAAATTCAACAAGATCTTTCCTCATTTCAACAATGAAATCTATTGCCTATTTTGCTGTGGAAGTCCCATAGCCATTCTGTATTTCACAACTTTGGAACTAGCTTGTGCAACATTAAATATTACGTGTCTTCAGGCTTTTGGACAGGAGAAAGTGGGTGGAGGTTGCAAAGGGGTAACTTTCCAAATAGGAACTACTTTACAGGAGGTGCAGAATATAGTGGCCACTATCCAGTTTCTGACCAGCTTTCCTTGTCCTCCTGATCAAATTGCCATCATTCACAGTAGAGCTTAGATCTGTCTCAGCATGGTACCTACAGAAAATCTAGGACATCAAGAAAGAGTCACAATAGCTTCTATGTTGATCTAAAAAACAGACTAGAATATACAGCCTATAAAGGGTAACAAGCAGATTTACTTTACCTTACTCCATTGTTAACTTGCAGGGTCTGCAGAATTTTGAAAGATCTGCCACCTATACTTACCCAGTCACGTGATAACTTGCAATTTAACAATTTGCAAATGGCACACAGCCAAACAAACTAGGATTAAATAATTGTAATTGATGTAAAATACAGATCAAAAAAGACAAAAAAAATGAAATATCTTACAGCATTCATAAGTCCTTTTGGCAAACCTGCACACCAGCAAAACTGGTTAGAGGTCATAAAAGCTAGTACATTCCAAACAAACATTCCCCACAAGGAAGTTGGTTTCTAAACAAGGGAAAAATTCAATTTTTTGCACAACGTTTGGAAAAGGAAAAATGTTTAGCTCCATTAAAAGTTTTAGTTAAATAGATATATGAAGACATACTTACCGTTAGATCAAGAGTCCCAAAATATTGAGGTTTTAAACAAGATTATACAAAAAGTGAGGATTTTAAATTTATAGCTCTGCATAGAAAAAGTGATGCTTTTAAAAGACTAAATATTTAAAATAAATTTCAAGAGGCCTAATAGAACAATAAAAAAAAAGTATTTTTTGGAGAAAATGGGGTGGGAAGAGGGCAGAAGTTCATCATCCCATACACCAAAATATCAAAAAGCAAAACAAAACCTTAAATTTTCAAAAATTCTATTTTTGAAAAGAAGAAAAAAAAGTGAAACAAACAAAAAAGTTTACTTACCTCCTCCATTTCCCTGTTCAAAAAAAAATTGTTACACCAGGAAATTATTTCCTTTTTAAAAAGAGGTTTAGAAGAGGGAAAAAAAACACTTCCCTAATATATGTACCCCAACCCTCTTTCCCCCAAATCGAATCTGGATTGATCCAGAAATTCTGGGTAATAATGAGTTGCAGATTCAGTCTCATCCACACACATTTTATACTCCGTCGATATCAGAAAGAAACATTTTTGGGGGGAAGGTTTACAGCAAAGGATGACCTGCTCCTTCTTCCTTCAAGACACCTTCCTCCTCAAACTCACCTCCATCAGAAAATTCCTCCTTAAAATAAACGGTGGGGTCTGCAGCTGCCAAGGCAACCAACAAGCAGAGCAGCAACCTGGTCTTCATCTTCTGGGGGATGTATTCGACTTTGGCCTTCCCAAATTACTTTTTTTTTCCTCCCTCGGTAAATATTAGGGGAAAAAAAAAGAACGGGGGTGGGGAAAGTGGAAAGAATTTAACACATTAACCGAAAAGCCACCGACAGAGCTGAAGCCACCAGGAATGAAGGAGCTCCCCGCGGATGCTTTTATACTGCGCGCGTCACACAAACTTCACAGACGGCTAAATCGCACCTCCCCGTCCTGGCGGCGCCCCCTGTTTTGATTGGCCGCCACTGCCACTGCGGCGGATTCCCCGGCTCCTGATTGGCCCTAACTGCCGTCACGCAAACGTAGTGTCCCCGCCCTCCCAACCGTCCGCCCGCCCACCCACCAGCAGCCAGCAGGTTAGGTTGCGCAGCGTGCCCAGATGGCCAACGCTGATTGGTCGTCCCGAACGTCATGGCGACCGGGGCTCTCGACCAATGGGCGACGACCACATGTTCGGTCGGCGGAAGAAGCGGGGCGGGAACCGCCCACCGCAGGAGCTCGCTCCCCATTGGTGGACGCGGCTTTCAATCAGATTGAGTCACAAAGGATACGTTGCTCCTCCCCTACTCCTGCAACTCCAGAGACAAGGTTTGAGTTTGCAAAACAGCTGAAGGCAAGATAGGAACATAAGAATAAAATAAAGAACAGCGGATGCTAGAAATCCGAAACAAACACAGAAATTGCTGGAGAAACTCAGTAGGTCTGGCTGCATCAGTGGAGAGAAAGCAGAGTCAACAAAACTGCTTTCTCTCCACAGATACAGCAATGTCTGTTTTTATTTCAGGAACATAGGAACAAACACAGAAATTGTTGGAAAAGCTCACAGATGCTGCCGGATCTGCTGAAGAAAAAATCAGAGTTAACGTAGAGATAACATCGTGTGGAGTTGGAGGAACACAGCATGCCCGGCAGCATCAGAGGAGCAGGAAAGCTGATGTTTTTGGGTCAGGACCCTTCTTCAGAAATGCCTCATTTCTGAAGAAGGGTCCCAACCCAGAAGGTCAACTTTTCTGCTCCTCTGATGCTGCCTGGCCTGCTGTGTTCCTCCAGCTCCACACTGTGTTATCTCTGACTCCAGCATCGGCAGTTCTTACTACCTCAGAGTTAAAGTTTCAGGTCTGGTGACCCTTCCTCAGAACTGATGGTGGCTGGGAAACCATCGGTTTATATGCAGAAAATAGGGAGAGGCATGGGGTCGGGAGTAAACAATAGGATAAAGGATAGAGCCCGAAGAGAGAGAGAGAGAAACAGTTGGACAGACAAAAGAGTTGATAACGATCTGGCTGGGAGGGTGAATAGCTGTTAGTGGGGGCTGTCAGTGACCAACAATAGGTAGTGTGTAATGGCAGGCTATGTGATAACAAGGCCTGGTGTGTGGGGTAGGGGACTAGGACATGGGAGAGTTTTGGCCCTAAAATTATTGAACTCGATATTGAGTCCAGAGGGCTGCAGGGTCCCCAAGTGAGAAAATGAGGAGTTATTCTTCCAACCTGCGTTGAGCTTCACTGGAACACTGCGGCAAGCCAGAGACAGAGATATTGTCCAGGTAACAGGATGGTGTGTTAAAGTGGCAGGCTGGAAGCTCAGGGTCTTTTTTTGCGCACGGAACGTAGATGTTCTGCAAAGCGATCACCCAGTCTACGCTTCATTTCCCCAATGTAGAGGAGTCCACATTGTGAGCAGCAAATGCAGTTGACTAGATTCTGGGAAGTGCAGGTGAAGTGTTGCTTCACCTGGAAGTTATGTTTGGGCCCTTAGATACTAAGGAGAGAGGAGGTAAATGGGCAGGTGTTGCATCCTTGCCGGTTACAGGAGAAGGTGCCGTGGGCCTGTGGGGGGGTGTTGGGGTGAAGGAACAGTGAACCAGGGTGTCCTGGAGGGAACGGTCCCTGTGGAAGGCGGACAAGGGAGGGAAGGGGCATATGTGTCTGGTGGTGGAGTCTCGCTGGAGGTGGTGGAAATGGCATCTGATGATCTTCTGGATGTAGATGCTGACGGGGTGGTAGGTAAGGACAAGGAGAACCCTATCGCTGTTGCGGGAGGGAGGTGAGGGCGGAAGTGCAGGAGATGTTTCGGACCCGGTTGAGGGCCCTGTCGACAACGGTGCTGGGAATCCTTGGTTGAGGAAGCAGGTGGACATTTCGGAGGCTCCCTTGCCCATAGTGTCCAGGGATGTTCAGTTGGCCTCATCTGAACATGTGCGACGGAGAGGAGGAACTGAGAGAATGGGATGGAGTCTTTACAGGAAGCAGGGTGCAAGGATTTATATTTTATAGTCCAGGTAACTGTGGGAGTCAGTAAGTTAACAGTGGATATTAGTGACCAATCTATCCCCAGAAATGGAAACAGAGATGTTGAGGAAGGGAAGGGAGGAGTCAGAGATTAGAACATAGGAGCATTATAACATAGGAACACTTGGAACATTGGAATGTAGGAAGATAGGAACATTAGAAGATTGAAACATAACAACATTTGAACATAGGAACATAGGCGCAGCACAGTGGCTCAGTGGTTAGCACGGCTGCCTCACTGCACCAGGGACTTAGGTTCCATTCTGATCTTGAGCGACTGTGTGGGGTTTGCACCATGTCTGCGTGCACCAGGTGCTCTGTTTCCTCTCAGTCTGAAGATGTGCTGGTTAGGTGGATAGCTCATGCTAAATTGCCCATAATGTCCAGGGATGTGCAGGCTAGGTGGATTAGCAGGGCTGGGGGGCTCTTGTTGGGATGCTCTTTGGACGTTTGGTGTAGCCCCAGTGGGCCAAATGGCCTCCATCTGCACTGCAGGGATTCTAGGAACATAAGCAACACTGGAACATTGGAACAGGAGTAAGCCATTCAGCCCCTTGAGTCTGTTTTGCCATTCATTAGATCATTGGCTGATCTGTGGCCTAACTCCATATACCCGCAACAAAAACAAATTACTTGAGGAAACTTAGCAGGTCTTGCAACATCTGTGAGAGAAAACAGAGTTAACATTTCGAGTCCAGTAATCCTTCCTCATAACACATACCTACCTGCCTTTGGACATAACCCCTAATACCTGTGCTTGACAAAAAGTAATCCATTTCAGATTTAAAACTGAAAGCTGATCTAGCATCAACTTCCACTTATAGAAGAAAGTTCCAAACCCAACACCTCCCAGTCGCGAACCACTTCAACTCCCCCTCCCACTTCTTGGACGACATGTCCATCCTGGGCCTCTTCCAGTGCAACGACAATGCCACCCGAAGGTTGGAGGAACAGCACCTCATATTCCGCCTGGGAACCCTGCAGCCCAATGGTCTCAATGTGGACTTTATAAGCTTCAAAATCTCCCCACCCCAGACCTCATCCCAAGACCAGCCCCTCTCGTCCCCGCCTCCATGACCTGTCCGTCTTCCCTCCCACCTACCCGCCCCTCCCTCCTCACTGACCAACTCCCATCCCAACTCCCTACCTACACTCACCTGCACTGGCTCCATCCCCACCTCCTTGACCTGTCCGTCTTCTCTCCACCCATTGGCTCCACTATCCACCTTCTATCTTCGGTTCCCCCTCTCTCTATTTATTTCAGAGCCCCCTTCCCCTCCCCCATTTCTGAAGAAGGGTCCAGACCCGAAATGTCAGCTTTCCTGCTCCTCTGATGCTGCCTGGCCTGCAGTGTTCATCCAGCTCCACACCTTGTTATCTCAGACTCCAGCATCGGCAGTTCCTACTTCCTCTAAAACCTCTCATGTGTAACAGCGCTTCCTAACATCCTTCCTGTTTTCCCTAGAATTTAGACCTAATTCATATCATCCTTCCTCTCAATTTAACCCTGAAGTCCAGGTAATATTCTTGTAAATTTACGTTGTACACCCTCCAAGGCCAACATGGCCATTGCATTAGACATCATTTGGGGATGGGGTGGGGTGTTTCAAGCACATTAATTAAGGAATTTAACAGGCCTTACTCCTTACAGAAAAAATATATGGGGGTTGGTTAGCTCAGTTGGCTGGACAGATGGTTTGCAATGCAGAGTAACACATGGGTTCAGATCCCACCCTGACTGAGGCTCCATGAAGGATTGTCTCAGGTTTTTTTCAGTACTCCAGTATAGCTGGAAGAACACCTGCTTGAGGGTCTTACAGGTCTCAATATCAAGTTTAACAATAATGTAAAACAAAGTCCTGTGGAGGCTGGAGATCTGAAATGGAGAAAAACAGAAATTGCTGGGGAAACTCAGCAGGTCTGGCAGCATCTATGGAGAGAAAACAGAGTTAATGCTCCGAGTCCAGTGACGTTCCTTCAGTTTTGATGTTTGAAACATTAACTGTTTTCTCTGTACAGAGGCTGCCAGCCCTGAGTTTCTCCAGCAATTTCTGTTTATCAAATTTAACAATTTTTGATTACCACTTCCACATCCCAGGTCTTGAGATGAAATGGTTTGCTTTTAGTATAACCAACTCACTTTCACTTACTCATAGCCCCCATTATACTACTTAGCTTCTCTTCTTGCCTGGTTTACTATCAACAATTCCTTTGTCTGCACACCTTTTATTTCACTATCTCTCCAGGTTCTCTCTTCTCATATCCGCTCACTCCTTCACCCCATCATCAACTTAAATACCACCTTTTCCCAACGCTATCAGTTCTGAAGAAGGGTCACTGGACCTGAAACATTAACACAGTTTTTTCTTCACAGATGCTGTCAGACCTGTCTCTGTTTGCCACCATAAAGGTCCCTCCTCTCAACCTCTCCCCTTGCCTGAGTTGCAAGACCCTCAGGTTAAACTGCCATAGTTATCTCTAATGTGACATCAGCCCTATGGTCATCTGGGACTATGGTGACTTTACATTTCACTGCTTTTATGCCAATCATGTTCACATTAGGCAATGATTCTGGAGTATAATCCCGCTGCATGTCAGCTGCTTACTCTTGAGAGCATGTAAGAACATAAGAATAGATGAACAGCAGGCTATTCAGCCCCTCTTGCCTATCCTGCCATTCTTTAACATCATGCCTGACCTGTCCCAGCCTTCAATTTCTCTTTCACACCAACTCATCATAACCCTCTAGTTTCCCGATATTTCAAAAATCTATCTACTCTATTTCCTCTTTAAACATTGTCAGTGATCTCTCTGAGAATTCCAGGTGTTCACTACCCTCTGGGAGGAGAAATTCCTTTGCATCTTAGTCTTAAGTGTGTCCCTTTAT